GTATTTGGTTTGTTTTCAAGGGTTTCTGGTTTTAGGATTAGGTGAAGGTGGCCTTTTAAAATATTGGGCTGTGGTGAGTGAGTTGGGGTAGGAGACTCGGGCTTGTGATTCTGTTGAGTTTTCAAGTCTTTGCTCGTTGGCCATGTTCACTTGGAGGTTTGGTCAGTTATTCCTTGTTTCCTTCACTCTGCTTTCCCTCTAAACAAGTAGTAATGTGCCAAGTATAATCTAATTGGTAGAAACAAGTTATTACCATTTAATACATACTGTAACATAGCTTTCTTAATGCCTAGAAAACATGCCTTGTAACAAGTGTTCTACCAACTCAACACTCATAGGCAGGCTGCTAGCACCAAATTGAATTTCTGCTGCTTGTGTACATGAATTTTTTAGACGGCACTTAAAACTACTGGATGCAATGCATCGTTCTTACCTAATGGATTAATGTTTGTAGACCAAAAGGATGTACACTAGGGTGTGTTCTCATTTATTTCATTGCTTCAACCTTATCGATATAGGAATTGGAGATTTTGATTGTATCAACTTGATACAACCAACCTTAGTTAACCTTAAAACTACTTCATCTTTTTTAGTTTTTATTCAATAAGATTGGTCCACAAATATATACTCTTCTTCTTTATATAGTAAGAGGAGAACTAACGATGGATCCTAGGCTTAACCATAACTGCATTCTATTAGGTTACTTTGTTAATTGAGGTATGCCCAAGCTAGGATATCTAAACCTTGTAGTTAAGAGGAGGTGGTGCTAATTAGAATATTAAATATCTGCTAGTGGCCCAAATTAACGATCCTGTTAAAATTGGTTCTGTTGCTTAGGGTAGGCAATTTCAACCTAAATCCCATTCGGATAAAAAAAGCAAAAAATAAAAAGTGATTTGATTTCTATTTAGTTATTTAAACTTGACAAAAAGTTGATCAAGAAAATTTTATTGTAATAATGGTCGTACTTTATTTTTAGGTATCGTGTGGAGTTGTCGATTGGATGGCTCCTGTCTTAGGATTGGGTGGTACTCAACACTGATGGAACTAATCAAACTTCATATCATCAATCCATTGGGAAAGGGGTCTTTTGTGATCACTTTGAGAATTGAAAATGCAGTTTCTTGATCAAATTCGAAAAATTGTTGTGCATATCAAGCTGAATTATGAGGTGTTTATTAAAGTTTGGTGGTGACATGGGATGCAGGATGTTATAAAGTGATTTTGGTTATGGATAACAAAATCACAACACAAGTGATTCAAATGGAAATAGATGAATTAAATACTAATTCAAATTTAATTTTGACTATTAAAGATCTCTTAAAGAAGGAATAGTAAGTATCATTTATACTTATAGTGAATCCAATTGTTTCGATGATTTTCTTGTAAATATAGCTTTTCAATATCTTTTTAATACGGTATATTTTAAGAACTTTTTTAGAGATAGTGTTTTAATTTTATTAAATGATGCTATGAGAATTTTATTCCCACACGTTATCTCAAAGGGAAATAGAAAAAATAATTAAAGAAAAAAAATGCAGAATTGAAAGGTGAAAACTCCTAAAACTTGCTGGGTTTGATATGGTCCTGTCAGGCTGTAATTGCACTCTTGTAAAAGATTTAAGTGATTTCGTAAGAACACATTCACTTGCCCGGCTAGAACTAGATGCCCAAGGAACATTGCCAAAAGCTAGCTTGTAAGAGTTCTGTCAACTTTTGGTTTATCCACAATCCATTCCAATGTTAGGTAGGTCAAATAAGTGCAGCAAAAGCACTATTCACTTTTGTTAGTGGCGGTAGAAACATTCAAAAGCAAAAAAGAGGAATACAACTGAGATTTGTATGCCAGGATCATAGATAGGTATTGGTCTAATCTTTTTTTTTTTGGCTCAATGGTATTGGTCTAATCTGTTGGCCCCCCAGTAGCAATTTGATTGATAAATTCCGGATAATCATCAATTGAAACTAGGTCAAGAATGGGGGCCTGTGCTAGCTAAAAAGTTTTCTCTAGGGAAATGCAGCATATAATTTGATTAATGAAGCATATTAGAGTTAGTCTGCTTGATTCAATTTAACCAATGATTATGCTGTTAGATTGAAAAGAAGCATTTCAAATGGTCAACATTTACAAAGTAGTTCAGATTCCCATCATTTTATACACAGCTATGGGATAAGTTCATCCAAAAAAACTTTGGGAGCCAGTGTACTCTTATCATCTGGTTGTCGATGTATTGTACAAGTAGTTTGCTACAAGTCTATCTTCTTCTCACTAATTACAGTGAACATCTTAGGTCATCATGAATTGATAATGCTTGTGCCCACTAGAATGAGAACAAAAAGAAAATGTGCCTTTTGTGTCAACTTTATGGTCATACGATTGTGGCAAAGAATAAAAAATGATCAATTACACACAAATAGCTGTTCGATATATGTTATTGAGAGAATGGTTCAAGATGAGGCTCATCAGAATCAGATTTTTGGTCAATTGGAATTTTATACACACTATGTTCCTCACGGTAACGTGTCTTCTCATTCTTCAGAATAGTCTGACAAGCAGTGGTTATCAATGTCACCCACTATTTGTAGGCTCTTGTATGTATACGTAGACCCTAGATTATAGGTCAAAATACTAGATGAATGGCCGAAGCACTTTTTCCACATGACAGAATCATAAAATGTTTATGTCTTGAAGTGAGAAATTATCAGTGCAGTTTATATCATGTGAAAAAGGAATAACACTGCGGTGCTGAGCAAAAGGGTGTTGGCTCAGGAAGGTGTTGATGATCAGATAAAGAAAACACGCCTATTTGTTTACTTTCAAAACTAGAAAGGGGAAAATTATCTCTTTTTTGAGTCAATCATAGGAAAATGAACAAAATGGCATATATATATATATATATTTCTTTTGTATGCTTATTTGTCGAGAAGGTTGTTGGCACAGTTTAATCATGTAGGCATGCAGAGGAGGTAATGCTATGTTCTGGTCTGTTTAGGGTGTATTTGAATTGATTTTAATATTGAAAGTTCTAGAGCATGTTTCCTGTTACTTCTTTCTGGCAGCATTTGTCTTTTAGTGATAGTTGAAACACTTCGAACTTGGCTTTACTTGGAATGAACAACCTTCTGCTCTCTTTCTCAAGGTTCCTGATGTAAGCATTTCAGATGACCTTTCTGGGAGCATAATTTTCTCATTATAAGTTGTTGAGAGAAGTATTTAGAAATATTATCTTGACTGAGAATGTAAACATAGATATATATATATAATGATGGATGGGATTCCTCTCCTACTCTCCTAATTTTGCGGGTCACTTAGACACTAATGAAATAATTTAGAATATTTTTGTTCATTTTAAAACATATTGAATTTGATTATCAGTCTGGCATTCTCCCATTTGACTTTTAGCGTTTAGCCTCTGCAACCTCAAATTTAGTTCTTACAGGAGGCAAAGATTGATTTTTCCAACTCCTGATTATGCCAACTTCATCTCCTGTCTGGTAACAAAGCAGGAGCTTGTTGCAGTCTAGATGTTTATCTCCAGTGAAAAAAGCTGCACTGATATTTCGCGTGTGCTAATTCGTCTCCCCATTGTTCAGATTTGTTACCAGACAACTGATGTGGAGCATTACATGAGTTTAAGTGATTGAGCTCATGTGTGATACACATTAATAACTTAGTTAAAATAATATGTTTTCTGTAATGAGCTTGGCATAGATCTGCACTTTCCTTTCTTGGCATTGTTCACATTCCTGATTAGTGGCAGTGGATCAACACCAGAGGGAATAAACAAAAGAGTTTAGTAAAGGGATTAGGTGGACATCCAATTTGGCCAATATAAAGTTAGGTTGCAGTGTGTGAGTCTGAAGTACATGTGGCAGGTTGCTTTTTGGGTGCCATTTTTGGTGCTTATAAATGACGTGGGATGGATATTTAGCAATGTTTTGCATATAGATGTAGAGTATTTGTTTTCATATTTAGCTAGCTAAAGGGATTATTTGCCATATAACAGTGGGATTAATGATCAGCATTACAACTAGATGGGGAGTATTTGTTTATGTTCATCAATGCT